TCATACACGAACACTGTTGCTATAAGTGATAAGTTTTTTCAAACTAAATAGCATCTACACCCAAAACTACTCAAAACAGTATTCTTCTTAAAACTACACTCCAAAACTACAATAACCTACAGCTATTCTAACACTATCTGCATCTTTGCCTCCGACTCAGTGATTTGCCTAGCAATCTTTGAAGGTGCTTCATTCTCGCTTATGGCATCAGCGTCTATCTTGCGCATAGCATAGTCCCATAGGAGAGCACCATATCTTTGACGGAGTAGAGTGGAATCAAATGTTATTTTTGGAATCTCTCCAAAAGTGCTCAGAAACTCTGCGTATGCTGCAACATGCATTCCACAATCCCTAAAAAATAATTGATTGAAACAATTAAAAATAATTCATATAATTAGATTTGTATATAACATACAAGAATGATGATTGAATACTTACAAAAGAATTCAGGGGATTAAAACAGTTAAATTTAATTGAAATTACCTGAATACAGATGTATACATATGTTGAATAATACTGAATATAGCAATTGAATACAACTGACTCTAGGTGGTTAATACAGCTCAATTCAATTGACCATAGCTGAATACAGCTGAATACACCAAAATACAACTGAATACAGCTGAGTAAAATAACAGGATACAGCTGAATGAAACAGCATGTTGTATATTGTTGTATGCATATGAATACAATTATATGCAATAGATGTATTCAACTGTATGCAGTTTCTGTATGCATTTGTATACAAGTGTATGCAGCTGATTATTAGTCCCTATGCATTTGTATACATGTATTTAAAAAACTATCAATACAACTACATGTTAATACAGCTGAATACATTGCATATTTCATAGTAAATCAGTTTTGAATACATATCAATACAACTACAAACACTTACAGAAGACTAAATACAATGACAAGGCTAAATACATATTAAAAAACTAGATACCACACACATGACATAAAAAATAAGTAAGCTGATTACATATGAATACATATGAATACATTTGAATACATTTGAAAACTTACTGGAAAATTGAACAGTTGCAAACAAAAATAACTAAAGCTGATAAACCTGCAAAATCTGACTCCGCTTGAGTTATTTGCAACAAGAAAGAGGGCCCATCAAAATTGAGAATCTTGGTGGGTATACCTCTGGTTATCATGTTGTGTGGCGTTGAATCCGCCATTGGAGAGAAAAACCAAAGCTTCCTGGTGAGAAAACAATACCAATGGTTATTGTTTCAGAAATTTATGAAAAATCCGTATAAAAATTATAGAAACAAAATAATGGTATCAAAATCGAAGAAGAAAACTTACCAGGCGTATAATTTTCGGCAGTAAAACAGTGATTCCGTATAGATTCTGAATATAGGATTGATAATGGCGGAGAAATAGTGAATTTGGGTGGGAGAATAGTTAAGAAACGTGGGTATGCGGGAGAAGAGAGTAAAGTGTATGTAAAAGAGAGAGAGAGAACGTGTTTAGAGGAGTTATACGGTAATTATGTAAGAGAAAATACTAAAAAGGAGAGAGAAAAATATTATTTAGCATATATGGTGCCTTAAATGTAGGATGTAACTATAATTAGATATTTTGCTATAAAGGACAAAAGGTATTTATAGGATGTAATATTTTAAAATGGTATTTATTTAAGATAAATAGGGTATTAAGGTTTTCTATAAGGTGTAAAATTTCCTATAAAAATTAGTCAAACTGTGCTTAATTTTGTTTTCCAATTCAATTTTTCAAGAAACAAGTTAATATTTTTAGTTTAAATTTTCCGAACAAAATAACTATTGGCTAAGCCATAAATAACAGTCCTAAAAATGGCTATTTGTGTACTTCCCCTTAAAGTAGAAATGAGAGGCCTTATTGGGCTGCTGAGTTGCGAATATAGCCGAGTATAAGTACCATGTTTTTCCAATTTCTAAATTGCATTGAGGGTAAATATATTTTTTTTCATTAACCATTTCAGTTGAATTGGTAAAGTTACTGTCATGTGACCAGGAGGTCATGGGTTCAAGCCGTGAAAACAGTCTCTTGAGAAATGCAGGGTAAGGCTGAGTACGATAGACCACAAATGGTTCGACCCTTTTCCGGACCTCGTGCATAACGGAAGGTTAGTCCACCGGGCTGCCCCTAACCATTTCAGTTGAAGTGATTTTGGTTTTGGTTATATGTGATGCACAATTAGTACTCTTGCAGTAAAGCACATGCTTTTACAGAGTCATTCTGATAAGTATTTTTTTGTACGATAAGTGCAGGTTGAAAAGGGTCCATCTATTAACGGACACTAAATTTTGCTGAGGTAATTGCAAGGGAGAGTATTCAGTAAATCTGTCAACATTCAAAGTCTGCAAACATTGATTGTCCTTGCTGCAGTCATGATGTTCAATTATGTCTCAAGTAAGACAACAGAAACTTTACAACTGATTTTAACTGTCCTTAACCCCTTCACGCATTAACAATTGAGAGTTGCCATGATCTCGTTAATAGAGGAAATTGTTAGTTATTCTGCATAATTTGCGCGTACCTTTGACTAATTTGTTAGTTATTTTGCATCTTCTTACTAAAGTTCTGGTTTGCTTTACTTGCATAGTTAACGACACTCAGAAACAACTTGAGGCCGCACACAACAATATTCTCCTTTTCTAGTCGATTGGTTTCTCAATAGAAGATTTATAATCATTAAATTATATTACTACTATATGATTTGAGCCAACAGCTATGGGTGCAGAACACATGATGTTGAAGGGTAGATCCGTCCATCTCTTTGTACATAATTCTTATTGTTTAACTGAAGTATGAATCTGTTTGTCAATTTAACATAAATCAGTGTCAATTGTCTATACCGCAAATCTGAATGTTTTGTATTTTCTAAGAATGTTACTATAAGTACAAGTGTAAAATTTAAAGAGTATCTATTTTTAGAGAACCATTAATTTATTTTAGAAGATAAATTATTTGGTATATGAGGAAATGAGCTCGATAGAGTATAGTTGGCTCTGATTAGGTTGGAATTGAAATGTGGTTGATTATTTTGATTGACATTATAGGTGTTTAACGGGTGGGCCGGGTTGAAAAAAAAGGTGACCGGCCGGTTTTCAATCCGGGCCGGTTACCGGTTTCTTAAAATCGGGCTTAACGGTCCGAGTCCATCCGAGTAAAAAATAAACCGGAAGGGTTACGGGTCCAAGGGACCGGGCCGGGCCGGGTTAGTGTTATTTTTTATATTGTATAACTATCGTAATTTATATTAATATAAAGTAAAAATATAAAACAAAAAAAAACAATCTTATAAAAAGAGTGTCTGAATAAAAGGATGCAATGACTTTAAAATCTTTATATTTGAAATTTTGAATATTTCATTAAGAATTTAAGATAATAGAATACGATGAAGATGGAAAAAAATTGCACTTATAATTTGCAAGTGCTTTTTTTATTTCAAACTTACAAATTGAAGTTTACATTTAGCAACAAGTAAATTAACGAAAAAAGAGTAAATTCAAACGTTTTGCATTGCCTTAGTAAGTTATTCATAATCAATATGAACTTCTTGGCTATCTTCTGGAGTGTTAAATTCAGATGGGTTACCATGTGTTAATATATCTCAAAGTTCCTCGTCTTCTGGTCTATCAACATCTTCACGTCCCTGATTCTTCGTTCCGGTCTAATCCAATCTCTACAACATACTAAAACTTCTAAAGCATTGCTTCCCAATACTAGGGTTTAGAGTTCTTGATTTTGATCTAAATCAGAACCTCGTTCTATAGGAAGCTCAATTCTCGTATGTGTACTAAGTGTCCCAGTCCCCCCTAATTATCCTCCAGTCTTATATTTAAAATCATATTTACAAAGTCTGCATCTAACTCAATCACTATTCTCTATTTCGTCAAAAAAAATTGGAAACCTTACTTCTTTTTCTCCGATTAGTAGTCGGGACCACAGGTGGTCTACTACTAGCACCACGACCACCACCCTTGCTACCAACTCCAACACTACTAGGTGTAAGTGGTGTTTCATCTTCATTTCTAATTCATTATCTTCTATACTGAAATCTTCCTGTAATTGTTCATAATCTATATTATTATCACGTAATGTTTCAGAAACATGTGTAGAGACATTTAAATTACTACTAGATGTTGAAGTAGTACCTTTTTTTCTATTTCCCCGATTATCCCAATTAGCAACCTTATTACAAACTCTTTTTGCAGCATTAAACATATTGCGAAAATTTAACTACTAGCAAAAATTAAATATGCAAATAAAATAGTAAATAAGAGAAAGAGTTGGAGGGAGTGCACCGAATTCGGCAATAAATTGAACACTTGATGATTTTGCAACTCCAATATTACCACGAAGAAACGTCAACTGTTCAAAGTTTGAAGTCCAATTGTTCAAACTTTAAATAAAAATAATATGATAAATTAAATTCCAAAAAAAATTTAGAGCCAAATAGTTGATTGCACTTTAGGTAAAGAATGAGAGAATGATAATTGAGAATATGAGGTTTGAAAAATGAGAGATGAGTGAAGAAATGAAGAAAATGGGGATGTATTTATAGTTTTTCAAAAGGCTAAATTAGTAATTACTAAAAGTGTTATTTTTTTAAAAAAATTTGCCAAAATTGGGCTATGTTTGCAATCCACCCATTGGGCAACGACCAAATTGAAGCTGACCATTGCCAACGGTCATTTCACTTAAAAAAAATAATAATAATTTCAGATTTATAGCCGTTGAACCGGTCCGGGCCGGTCCGGTCGAGGCCGGTTAACCGGTTCAACAGTAATTTTCGTTGTCCGGGTTTGACCGGTCCGGTTAACCAGATTTTATTTTATAAACGGAGCAAACCCCCTAACCCAGCCCACCCGGCCCCCAAACAACCGGTCCGGATTTTAACCGGTCTGTGCCGATCCGGAAACGGGTCGACCCGGCCCGTTTGACAGGCTTATTTGACATATAATCCCAAAGTGTTAATTATTTGTGGATAGTGAGGTTAAGGGAAATGAACCATTAGAGAATTCAAAATTTTACCTCTGCTGTGAACTAGAAAATGAACAAAGAAATACAGACCAGGGCGAGACATTGCTTGCTTCTTTTATAACTAGCATTAACCTACACCCTGAATTTCCCGTCTAAATTAAAGAAAGTAGGTCACACAAGAGCTGGCTTGGTGTCTGTTATCCTTATTCACTACTTGATTGCTATTGCTGGATTTCTCATCTTAGCCACCTTCTCAAATCAGTGGTTGAACAAGGAGAAATTTCTCCACCAAGGCTGTCTGTGTAACACGAGTAGTTTGATTGTTGTTCCATTCCCAGATAGGCAGCTTGAAGACTTTTGAAGCTAGGACTTCTCAAGTTCTGACTATAGCCATAGGTAGCATTAAGAGAATATGGCTCAGGAATTGGGTAAGAGAGACGTTTTTTAACAGACCCAACTCTTTCTCTTTCTGGCGTAGACGGCCTTTGTTTTGGCGTGCTTTGTGAACGAATCCGAGCTTTTGCAGACTCAGTAGCAGCCATATAATTAGGTACTGCAGCAGCTGCATCATTTCCTGAAGTGCTGTAGCGGGACATTATACTGTTTGAACGGGTAGTGGAGCGTAGGCATGGAGTGTTTGCAGTTGATTGGCTTTTACGTGGGCTTGTTGGGCGCATTTGGAGAGGTTTTGGTTGACAAGGGGGTGGGGTGGCTGGTGGTTGAATTGTGGAGTAATTGTAATGTGATGGTCTCTGGTGATGGGGAGAATTAGCAGCACAATGAGGACTACTAGCTTGTCTGTGAAGTGGACTCGAGTGGTGTGATCTTCGAGCATTTGGAACCATGTTAGAATAGGACTTAGCCGTGTCCATCTCAACGGTCTTTATAGAGTCTCTTCTGTCAAATGAACCTCTGCTGCTGGCCGTGTTCCATTGTTTGGACGACATCCAATCATCTAGCCAATTTGCTGTCTCTTCTAGTTCCCTCTCATTTCTTTCTTCACTACCAAGATCCATCTCATCCCATACCTATATGTAAAAAACTAAGTAATTGAGTGCTTACTTCTTGAAAGAATAGAATGTGAATTCATGTTTAGCGCAAGAATTAAGGGATAAAGATAGTTGAACCTGTTGAGTAAAAGCATGAGCAAGGGATTTTTCCCGTTTAAAGGAAGCTTCTTTTCTTGCTTGTAACATTGATTCCAGCTCTAGAAGCGATCTCGGGCAATCCCTCCAATCATCAGCTATGGAGCTTCCATCTCTAGACTGTAGTTAGTACAAAAGTGTTATCTGTTAGAGATTAATTAAGCAGAGGCGGCTGTAGAGTTACAACACTGGGTTCAACTGAACCAAGAACTTTCGACGCAGAGCATAACTTTAAGTGTAATAATTCACTAAAATTGTACTAATAAATAGTAGGTTTGAACCCATAAGTTTAAAGATACAACGAGTTCATGTCAAAAAACTTCCAGAATTGAACCCATAGAACTTAAATCCTGCATCCGCCTCTGGTTCTATTGTTATGTTACACTGCCTGAGGTGGAAAGTAGAGCTTACTCTGGACTTCCTGTCTCGGATGTCATGAAGATATTTAGAGTCCCATAAATTAGTGGTTTCAGCAAACATAGACCTGCGGCCTCCATCATGTGAAAGGCGAGCACGTTGTTCGCGAACCCGAGCCTGCACCCTAAGCAGAGCTTGCATACATTTCAGTGTCATCTTTGCTTGCTTCCTGACGTTTTGACCCCTTATTAATGCTTGTAGCTTCACTATCCCTTTCAATGCAATTAGTGCCCTCCTAGCCTGCACCAACAAATTAAGTAATCAACTGCTTCACATGACAGGTAAATAATTAACCAGTACAGTACATCTATAAATATTTAACATTCCAATGCATGACTTGTGATCAATTCAATATGGTCCTCAATCTAACGCTAGCTGCTGTCAACCCTGAATTAAGTACTTATGGTAACTACTAACTCCTGACTGCTTTCTCCTTTCAAAATGCTAGACTGTAGTATTTTTACTAATTCTCTCCAGTTTTAAATTTTAAATCACTAAATTTTATAGGGTCACGTTGACTTTTCCATAAACACTAATCTCTGAATTTTATTTTCTTCAGCACAAGTCAGAGCAACGGTAAAGTTGTCCTATAGGTCACGGGTTTGAGCCATAGAACCAGTCACAATACTTGCAGTAGTGTAGGCTGTTCACATCACAGCCCCTAAGGCGTGGCCCTTCCCTCCTGGACAAGAGGGAGTTACTACAAAAAAATTCATTTTCTTGGTGGAAGAAAACTTGTGGCATAACCTTGAAATAGCTCACTTACCAGATAGCCTCTGAATGCAGTTTGGATGAGTATAGCAGCATTGTGTTGCCTGTTTGAAGAAGGTGGATTATTTGAGGATCGTGTCAACCGTATGATTTCAACTGCTGCTTGAGCTGTGGCCACGGCAGCTTCAGCTGCTGCTGCTGTTGCTGCGGCCACTGCAATTGCATGCTTTGGATCAGCAATTACCTTCCCTTCAGTTTGTTGAGCATTTTGTGACTGTTTTCTGAACAACCACCTTCTCTTTTCTCTTTTCTGTACAAGCTAATACCAATTAAGAATCCATATACTAGTTTATACAAGTAATAATGCACTAGGATTAATTTAGTTGAAGTAAGCAAGTATATATTACCTTTTCTTCATCTTCCTCTAGTTCATGTTCTCTTTTAGCCTTTTTGTCACAGCTGTTATCTTTAGTTGGTGACCTGAAAGCCCTTTTAACAGCACTCAACCATGAACTACCTCCCTTCTTCTTTGCCATGGAAAAGCAAATTAAGTAACAGAAACACCAGGGGGCTTGCTTAAAGCAACATGAACAAGCAAGTAAAGAATAAGAAGAAGAAGAGAAATGGTGGTGTTGTTTATTAAAATGGCAAGCCTTTAACTCCTGAAACAATAAATAGAAAGAGAGAGAAATGAATGAGATAAAAAAACAAGAAATGACTGATGTCTGAACTCTGGAGATATAGTATATAATTGCAAGAGTGCTTATCCGTGCAGCATCTAACAGAGTAGCAGCTCTAATATCAATATGCGAGTGTTGTAAGTATAGGTCTTTTGTATTGGCATGGAAAAAAAAAATAGTACTACTCCACAAACTATATGGTGGGGGTGAGTGTCAGCAGAAGCAGAATGGTTCTGGATTTAAGTTATTGTGTTCTAAATTGATAATTCGTACATATTTAATAAAACTTTTAAGACAAATATAAAATTTTGACCAAAGCTATTGAGTTCGCTCGAACCCGTATTCCGCATGCTAGCTCCGCCATGAATGTCAGCATGCCAGTCTAGAGAGCTTTTCACCAATCAACTAACGAGACGACATTAAAATGAGTGTAAGCTAAGCAGCCTTAAATAAGTTTTTCTCTATTTAAATTGTAGCAACACAAGAATCCAAAGTCTCTTAGTATACTAGTATTAAATGAGTCAGGGGCTCTGTAATAGAATGTGCCTTTTTTTTTTTCCTTCTGAAATTTATTACTGAACACCCCTCATGGCTTCACGTGTTATCTGCATCTGAGAGTAAATTTTATCTACAATCATTGAAGCACAGTGTACAATTTATAGAGTTTATTGCTTATGTTATTCTGGTTGATTAAACATAGGCATAATACATAGTTAGCTCCCTGATCCTTTGATATACCTGTCAAGCACGAATAATATACCCAGGAAACCTTTTTTTAGTGTGTCTAAGCACAGTTTGGTATGTAAGAGGTTTTGCACAGTATAGCCTCCAGCTCAACAACAAGAACGGGGCGGATTTATAGGCAAATATATAGGGTACGTGAACCCATGGTCTAGTACTATCTGCTGGCACTCATGCTCCAAGGAGGTTAAATAGTGTACTTGGTTGAATGTTGAGTTATTTACCTAGAGGACCAAGGATCAAACCCTACTTAATACTTTCTTTTTTCTCCTTTTTTTTTTAGTGATGTACTCAATGTTATAAAAATCCTAGATCCACCCAGTAAAATTCCATAGGTGCGGGTCTGGGGATAGTCTGTGCGTTACCCCTACCCCGATAGATTAGAGAGGCTGTTTCTGACAGACCCAATATAGCCACCAGCTCAAGGACAAAATATGTAATTTGTCTTAAAACAGTATGATATTGTTGCTTTTTTCTTTTTTCCTTCAGTTATTAATTGTGTGTGTTTTGTAGTGGGTGGGTATATTGTCTCGATAAAGAAAGGAGAAGTACAAATTGACAAAGGCGTCTGCATGTGGTTATGGTAAGTGTGTAAGAGAGAGTCCATCTTTTCCCTCGAAGACTGCCAATCTAACCTAACGCCAAAGGAAAAGGAATCCATTTTTTGGGTAAAAGGGATTTATGATAGTGCCTTCTTTAACCCGTTGACCGGTCAAACTTTGTTCTATTCTCTGACCTGCTTCTCCCCTTAATTTGATTCCATTGTCATCTATTAATGATTTAAAAATTAAAAAGAAGAAACTTTACTCCCATTTTTAGTGATAAAGCAATATGCACGTCATGTTCTTTCCTTATTTCATCCCACTAACAACTTAGAAAATGTGTTACTAATAATAATAATAGGCTAAGACCTGAATAACACCCCCTCTTGTTTCATTTTATGGAAAGATATTTGATTGCACATGTTCTAAGTAGGAGGGAAAAAACTTTTAAAACTTGTGATTTAAACATATGAAGAGATTTTTGTTGCTATAAAATCATGATATTAAGAATAAAATGTAAAATTTAACACTAAATTATTTCCGAAATTAAGGACCAGTTTGGCCAAAGATTTTGTAAAAAAAATCAAATTTTTTTTGGCAAATACATGTTTGTTCATAAATTTTATTCATATTCTGGCAAATTCCCAAATTCCAGAGCTGGTTTTGGCCAAAATATTACTATTATATTTTTTTAAATTATAAAAAATGCCCCCAACTTTTGTATTTTATAAAAGAGCCCGTCATTTATTATTTTGTAACGATGTTGCTTCGCCTTCTCGGTAATCTGATACTGTATTATGTAGTTCATTATAAAATGATAATATTGTACCAAATTTATTTATGTTCAGGTTTATGGTTTGTGATAATGATAATGAATGTTATTGATGAAGGTACCAGAGGCAGATCTAGAATTTAGATTTTATGGATTCAATTTTTAAAGTTTTTAGCATTGAATCCTTTGTGTTTTTGAAGATTATGGGTTCAGACCTATCATTTATTACAATACTCATGAATTTTTACACATTAATCTATGTTCCGCATCGAAAGTACTGGGTTCAGATGAACCCGGCAGCCAACACTATATCCGCCCCTGGAAGGTACTGTTGGGTATTTGTGATAATTTTTAGAACTTGTGGGTATAAGTCATGTTTCATGTTTTTTCAAAAAAAAAAATTGAAATATGTTTTGAAACTAATATCTAAACATATTTTTATATTTAAACCAAACTTTATCCTAATCAGATTTTTCAAAATAAATTTAAAAATATATGGCCAAGCGCTATCTAAGAAAGAGTGTGAATATAAAATGTAGCCAAGAAAATATACTCCCTCCGGTCCAAAATAAGTGATTTTTTGGATGTTTTCACACAAATTAAGAAATCCACCTTTTAGCATTAATTAGCAATGGAATTGACCATATTAACCTTTACTATCTCACATAAATACTCCTAACACATATTCCAACACCATTTACTTCAAGGACAATGTAGGAAAAAAATAATTAATTCATTATTGAAATTTAAAAAAATCACTTATTTTAGACCACAAGAAAAAGGCCAAAAAATTACTTGATTTGGACAGGAGGGAGAAACAAACTAGTGGCAACACTTGACCTAGCTAATGGCAATACTAGTAGCTAGCGAGAATGAGAAACTACTGCTCGTACTATGTTACCACTTGACCTAGCGGCGAAGCTAGTAGTAGCGAGACCTGGAAAGCATATAAACTTATTATATTTTCTGCGTACATCCAACACTCACGGGAACGATATATTATTTCTCTAGTAAAGATACTTTGGGGTCTGGAAAGGAAAATAAATGATTTTTCTTGTTTTGTAGTATTTCTTTTACGTAGTATTTTTAAAGTGTTTTTCTTCTATCTGTCCTCTTGAGGGATGTGAAATGGCACGTGAAGATAGGATAGATAGATGTCCGAGAAACGTCCCAGTTCAGTTAACTATTTGGGGATATCAGAAGAATAGAGAAGCTTTTTCTTGGGACTATAATCAAACCTCTACAACTAGAAGCCCTTGGCATAACTATTGTTATCCGAAAAGTATTTACGCAGAGAGAGAGACAGCTGCAAATAGACTATAAACATTGCAAGATGGCCATCTGATCCTTCTTCGTATTGACAATGATTGGCAATGCATTTTCTACACGATTGAAAAGCGTCATCAAATTAAGCTTCTAAAACTACTCTCTTTTTAGTCCCTTGTTTTTCTTTCTTCACACATAAACCCCTATAGCTCCTGTTAAAAGAAAAGGGAAATAAAGAAAGGGAGAAAGAGTAAACTGTCTAAGCCTACTTTGAATCTCTATAATAATATACTCGGTGAATTTCCACAAATGAAGTCTGGGAGGTAGCGTACGCATAGACCTTGTTGGTGTTACTGTGTTAAAAATTAGAAAATTAGAGAAGCAGAGAAACATTAGTTTAATAAACAAAACAAAAAAAAAATAATTCCGAGCCCACAAGTTGCTTGTGTGTCCTTAAGGAATTTAATCCCCTCACTGTTGCCCAAGGTTTTGGATTAATTCCTCCCAGGATAGAACGGAATAACTATTCTGCAATACTGGCAATCGAAACCACAGAATTTCAGCGAACTCAACAGACGGAGCAAATCACACTCGACACTTATGTTTATTTGAAAATAATGCAACAATATAGAAAAGAGGGGAGAAATTTTCAGATTTTTCCATATCTTAAAAATGAGGCAAGCCTCTAAATTTATAGACAAAGGAAGGGTGAGATGGAGAGGTGCAATCCAAAAGGTGTCTCTTCCATTACCCATTCACATCCCTTTAAAGAAAAAACGCAACAATCCCCCATATGAATGGGGAATGTACATATGTGAAAAATATGCATGAAAATACTGTGTGATTCGCAAGTAAGGATTAATCGCATCTGGATAAGTAGGTTTCCCTTTGAACTTTCCATAGTGAACTTATGTCGGATATACTCGGTCAATCGGTAGATTTGATATTTTTGAACCGTCGAGCTTTGGTGTATACCTAGACAACCATAAGTCACACAATCAACCCTTAACCGTCTTTGGTTCTCATTGTTGTGTTCGTTTCAGCCATGAACACCACCTGGTTCATAAATGCGTAGAGAATTGGCCTTACAGAATTCTCCTTGAAGCGGCTTACACTTCACACTTACATAGGTGATTCCTAAACGTGTTATCCCGTAGATACACTATTTGATATACCCTGTATCAAACTTAGAAACCATTAAAAAGTCTTAACTCTTTATCCTTGGTACTGAACATTGTCTCATCACGAGAATGGACCAAAAAGAAATTTTATTTGACAATGTTGAACCATCATTAGTGACTTTGTTTGAGCTCCTTGAACCTAGATCTTGGGATCTCCAGTCTTCTAGGTAGAGTTACCGCCACAATGACTTGTCCTCGGCCATAGTCATATTCCTCTCGATGATCTTTCAACTATCTCTCTAGTTAGGCCTTTTATAAGTGGATCCGACACATTATCGCTTGATTTTACATAGTCAATTATGATAATTCCCCTAGAGAGTAGTTGCCTAACGGTTCTATGTCTTCGTCATATATGACAAAATTTTTCATTATACATAACGCTCCCAGCTCTTCCTATTGTCGCTTGACTATCACAATGTATACATATAGGTGCCAAAAGTTTGGGCCAAAATGGAATATCTTCCAAGAAATTCCGGAGCCATTCAGCTTCTTCACCGGCCTTCTCTAAGGCTATAAACTCAACCTCCACTGTAGAGCGATCAATGTACATTTGTTTGAACGATTTCCAAGACATCGCTCCTCCAACGACTGTTTAGAATCGGTTGAACCGGTGATCTAATTTGCATCACTATATCCCTCTATAATCGGGAGATACTTATTGTAGTGCAAAGCATAATTTGGAGTATATTTTAAATACTTCAAAACTCGTTTCATTGTCATGAAAGTTCAATGTAAACTTTCTTATGTTGTAGACTAATACGTCACGACTTTCGATTGCATATCAGATTATTGACTACGCTTAATGTATCAATCATATATTATAAAAACAGCTGGAATGATTGGCATCAGTTGTGGCCACAACCTTTTAATATAAAACACATTTCGCAATCACTCCGCTATTTCAAGC